AAATGTTTATATATTTCAAAATTGTTAATTTTAGACGCTATGGTTGAAAAATGTAGTTCGGACAAAGGGGATGTAAAGGTGAACAAATGGAAGTTGACCCGAGACCGATTATGAAAGGACTGACTGGTAGTGGTTTCTAAAGTCCCATCCTAAGCCTAAAGGCGTGCAATTTTTGAAGTTGAGAGAAGTGTTATCAAGTCCAGTTAGGCCCTACTTTGACTAAAACCTCCAATCAAACAATTGCTCTTCTCCTCATAGCCTAATTTCTCGTCTCTTTAATAAACAAAGAATTCTTAAAAAATATATTTATTTAGAGCATAAATTATATAAATGAATACAAGTTAAAAATGTTTAGATTTATTGGAAATATTTAGAAAGAAAAAAAAGTTTACATCTAATTATAGGATTGATGTTGGTTCCAAAAACAATTAACTTACAAAAATAAGTTGAGCAACTTTCAAAGGTTCGCCCCTGGTCAAGACTGGTTAAATAACCGAGCAGACCTAAATTTGCCCTAGTATGTATAAATAGGAATAAAGAGTAATATTATTTTGTAAGCTACCGGTAAAATTTAACATTACTATTTACTTACCGGGTAAGATTTTAGTCTACCAAAACGACATTATATGCAACAATTTACTCGGTAAACGCTTACTGTCGTAAAAGTAGTCGCCCTCACTTACCAGGTAAGACTCTTGGTCCTTGTCTCGCTCTTACCTGGTAAGATTCTTGGTCCTCACCATATTCATCCGGTGAGGTAATGTTACTTGGTAAGCCTTATCCGGATAAGCATTTGGTAAACGGCCCATTAGTTAATTTTATACATAATGCATTAAAAGATATGGTTATTTTGTTGTTGGATAACTTCCTATCTAACGAGTTTGATATAAACAAGCCTGATTATAACCTCATTCCAGAAAGTACGTGATAGAAAAACACGTAACAATCCACCAGCAAATAGACGTTCCTCATGGGATATTTGGACCTACTCACAGGTTAGTGGTTATAAATCTATATGCACAAACTTGATGTTTATTGAAACAAATAGACGATATTATCCTTTGGCATCTCAAATCTATTAAAAAAAATGTCAAAAGATTAAACTACAAATTTGATCCTTGTGGTTTGTCAAACATAACAGTTTATGTCCTTACAATTTTGAAATTACAAGATAACTATCATGTTTTGCAAATACGTTTGAATTTTGTCTAACGGCCATTAAAAGATACCGTTAAATAAGGCGTATTTTTGTCCCTTCATCGATTTATCAAATCAAAACCATACGAACCTAATCATAAATCAATTTTGATTGGATAAATGACAAAAGAAATCAATAAAAAAACGAAAATGCCTCTCACTTAACGAAATTTTAACGGTCATAAGAGGAAGGGATCAAATTCGAACGTTTTTGCAAACCATTATAGTCATCTTGTAATTGCATAACTGCATGGATGAAAAGTGTTAATATTCGACAAACCACCGGGACCAAATCTTAGTTTACTCGAGATTAAATAACAAATTTAGGAAGGACCATTCCAGAAATATAAATAGTAGCAAATTTAGGGCTTCATGTATTGTTTTAATCATATTAATTTATTAACATTTTGGTTAAAAGTGATATACATAGAATAGTTAAAAATAAAAATAATAATAAAAACTTAAAAAGAGGCAAGAAGAGCAACAGCTAGATGCACTGTCAGTTTGTACATGCTGTAAATGTACTCATTTATTGATATATACTTGAGGTGCACTGAAAACTAGTACCTTCATGCTCTAAATGTACGACTCATTAATGGACCCAAGAGCTCTACTCACCTGTATTCATTTATTGATCCTTTATGTTATTGGATGCTAGTACCTTCAAGCAATTCTCGGTTCACAAATTTCTTTTTCTTTTTTTTTTTCTTTTTAACGGTGGGTGTTCAAGACAGTTTATATACAATCTCGACTAATTTCATAAGTTTGCAGAGAAAAATCCTTGATGACCTGAAAGGGATGTCCACGTTTCCTATGTGCCCGAATGGGATTTACGTGTAGATCATATAGCACTTAAACAGGGATAAAATGTTATACTAACTTGTACCATATGCAATGAAAGTTGTACATTGTTTTCTTTGATACAAGACCTATCCTAAGAGTTTGTTGGGTACACGGACGAGGATGAGGTAGAAATTTGAAAGGATTTGACATTGGTAGTTTAGTAATTTACCAATCATTTTCATCTCCAAGATTTTTTGTACCACCTATTTTGATGGGACAAAAAAAAATGCTTTCATGTCCTACTTGTCATATCCCAATGTAATGTCACATTAAACATAGGACATGTTTTTATACTTCTTGTCTCATCCAATCCCGTGTACCAAACGCACGCTAATGGACTAACCAAGTTCAGCTCACCTTCTACCCATCAAAAAGGAAAATGATTAAAGCTTCCTACAAGGCAACAATTTTTAACACTGAGGAGTAGCTCAACTGGTAAGACCATGATTATTCACTCCCAAGAGGCAGACCTTCAAATCTCCTAAGAGCCGAAGCGACCGAACGGTTTGTTTTGACTGTGAGTCGAGGTGCATGCAAACTAGCCCAAATACCCACGATTACAAGGCAACAACTCTCTCCGGTTAAATGACCATATTCGAAGAAACATATAACATACGATAAAGTGTAACTCTTTGAAATTGATGATAATTGTGATGGGATTGGGAATTGGGACCACACAGCATGCTTGTATTGTACCATTTAGGTCCAATTAGATGCTAGATGTGGTACTATCATCACAACAAAAGCTAGTTGGCCACACTCCTATAAATCAATTGACAATGTCATGGGAGGTGAGAGTGAGACCAATAAATATTATCAACTTTTTTTTATAAATAAGTTAGTGTTTAATCTCAATAAAATAATCATAGACTACATTTAACCACATAAAGTATAGCATTGAATGTTTGAATTTTCAAATTGTAACATTTTAGTTTTTGTTGTAAACTAACTATTATTTTTGTGAAAATACTAAAAAACTATAATTTAGGAAAATAATTGTTCCAAGACAAAGTAAGAAACTAAATATAAGGACCACCGTAATTACTCCTTTTTTGTCTAAAATTGTTTATTCTTATAAAATATAGTTTTTTATGATGTTGCATAGAATAACAAACATTAATTTACAACAAAAAAACAAGTACAACGGTACGAAAAGTCAATCACTTAAAGTGTTAGATTGAGAGTGTTTTGAGAGCAAAAAACCAAACGAACCGGCAACAAATGTGAATATGAGAAGTACTAAGATTTTTATATCTAAATTAAAAAAAGTGTGTTTCTTTTCGTGGGAGAGAGGGCGTATGTTAAACTCGAATTGTGACACAAGTACACACGTGTCAACCCTACATTAGACAACTCCATGGTATCATTTGGACCATTCAAAAAAGTTTTCAACTTTCACCATGAATCATACCACCTACAATCATCTTCTATGGAAATAGACTTGCAAAATTTTAAAGTATGAAGAAAAAGGATACCTGCAAATTGTGTACGTTGCACTCTTTCTTAATGTTGAGAACCCTGCACGCTTTGCATAGGTATGGGTCCGTCCCACTACAGGTCCCCACAACTGTAGTGCTTGAAACACTGTCCCTGAAAGAAAGAACATGGTGGTCATATGTTGGGTGACATGAAATTAATGTGGCAAGGTTACCCATAAAGTAATTCTTTTCTACAAACATTCAGTTAAATATGTTTTTTCCAACTAAAAAGAAAATTATTACAAGTCTCAAATGGATGAAAGATATGTCAAATGAACCATGGTGGACTCTAATATGTACCTAAAGCATTACACATCCCAATAGAGCGTGTTAAACCCATCAAACGGAGGTTAACCTATACAATTTTAACGACTTTAAAGAACAAAAAGTAGGTAGGGGCACACGGTGTCCATGTCTGCATCCAAGAGATACATGGATTTCATTCAATGCCACAAGTTAGTGACCACAATTATAATGACTTCACATCAACCAGCATCCATGTTTAAATCCTAATACACTGATCAGTAGAGATAAAAATTTGTGAGATAATAACAAAATCTTCAAATTCATAAGTGAACTAAACACAAATTAATTTTTTAAGGAAATCCAAAATTCTCTGTATATTAATGTTGGTTATACTAGCAATCCTGAGTATGGTTGGCTGCATTACTTTGCATCAAAGAACCTCGATGATTTGAGATTTCAAAGAGAGTGTGTATATGGATGTTGGAAACAATCAAATAGTATACAAGGTATCTTACATGAAAATTTGTGTTTGCAGAAGCGGGATTGTGTATGGGGCTTACTCTTCTCTAAACACTACTCATCAAAAGAAATACTTAAAATCAATAATCTAAGCAAGTAATCATTGAAATCCCATCTCTTGATTACAAGTGTAGCATAATTGCAAATGTCAAGGTGGGTATGTTACACACAATGAGGGATATGATTGGCAATGGTGATTTGTGAGGAAAGGTTGCGGTGACGCGTGTAGGAGAAAGTGCGTTAACAACATATGTGATTCTCTCCCGTGTAGACATTTGAACGCACCATTAGAAAGACAAGACTGGTATCAGAGGGATATCATAAGGACTAAGAAGCGGTAGTGGCCCACCAAGAAAAGAGATTTGACTAACTGGAACAGTAAAGGAATTGGCCTTACATAGAAAGTGCATGAAAGGTGGCTAGTCATGTCCAAGAGCCCTATGGGATTCACCTCTTCCAATTTCTATCGGCTTCCATTTTTAGCCAAATCCCACTAGCTTGGGATAAAACTGCTTTTTTGACGCTTATGTACTGTAGGTAAAAACAATAATAATAGTAGTAGAAGCAGTTGTAATTGATCTATATTATATGCCTATGAAAGGAAGGTTAATAAAATTAGTAGTTACTCAAACACTACCCTCTGTTATTCCCTAACTTGAATGAACAGAAACTGAAGCCTGTGGTCCTCACACTCTTGTTTCTATCCATCTCTTCACCTTTTCCTTTGTTTTTCTTCTTTCTATAAAGACTGTATCCACTCTCTTTCTAGGGCATGGAAACAACAAAATCTGGAAGGGTAGTCAGAAGCATGAACGATAAGTTGAAAAATGAGATGATGGAAGATGGGGAAGAAGATGATGATGAAAACTTTGGTGAGGGTAGTAGGAAGAAGAAGGTACTGGGAAAGAGGGGTTCTGGTAGTGGAGGGTCCATACAACCTTGTTGTCAGGTGGAAGGTTGCACTACTGATATGACTAATTGCAAGACATACCATCGGCGGCATAAGGTCTGTGAAGTTCATGCTAAGGCTTCAATTGTTATCACTGGTGGATGTCAGCAGCGTTTCTGTCAGCAATGCAGCAGGTAAAGAAACTTATTATTCCAAGTATTTGGATGATTATATGTTAACAGTAGCTACAATATGACAAACAGTACATCAAAATAGCACATAAAGTCAGTTCCCTTGACAAATGGTCAGTTCAACCGACTACCGACGAGGACAGACACAAACAAACATACAAAAAGAGCCTGCCCAAGGATTATCAATTCATATCATCTCTTACTTGGAAAGTCTTTAGAGTTCAATTTAAGATTATCCGTCTCATATTGCAATTATTTCAAGAGACATCTCTATTTAGAAAAGTTGGTCAGTTGAATTATTTTCTGTCCCATAGATTTGAAGAAAATTGACATGAGTTCTTGGTGACAGGTAATTCAATTATGAATATGTATTGTAATCAACCAGAACCTGAAGTAAAGAATATGATTTTCTCATAGTGATTAAAAGAATAGACTAAAATAGGCTTACCAAAGTGAAACAAGAAGACTGAAGAAACAAATAGGCCTCCAATAGAAGTAAAAAAGATAATTAAGTACAGATAATGTATTAAAAAATTCGACTGCACCAACAAAGATTATAACTTTACTTCCATAATAAGTTCAAACTTTACAGTTTATCACCAGAACTCATATTGGTGATATAGTGTGTTTTAAACTTCACACAGAAACAAAAGAAGGTAGTCATACGAAAATTCAATTCTGTGATATTATTCATAGCAGAGATAATAATGAATGTATCAAATTTAATATATACTTAACAACTAGATTAGGAATAATAATCAGCATGGGACTAGAAAAAAGAATAAGGCCACCATCCATTCAATTTGCCTTTTATTTTTGTTACTTGTCTGGCGCCTTCTGCAGGTTCCATGACCTAACAGAATTTGATGATGCCAAAAGGAGTTGTCGTAGGCGTTTGGCTGGACATAATGAACGCAGGCGTAAAAGCTCCTACGAAACTTATGGAGAAAGTTCCTGATCATAAATGAGAAAAAGAGTTCTTGATGAGGAAAGGAGATGCTTAGAGATATTTCCACGGAAGAGCCTCACCAACTACTGATAAAATAAGACATAACTATGTTCGCTATCATGCTCTCTCTCTTCTGTCAGTCCATTAACTTAAATATCTAGAAGTGTTGCTGTGTAAGTAAATATGATGAACTTCATAAGAATATCCAAAGCAGTACAACTGTGTACCAGCCAATTATACTATCTTTATGATTACTTTCTGGGTGCAAATGGAAGTAACTTTATGATTCTGCATGCAAAGACAATATCGACATTGAGAAGCAAGTGCTTGTTATATGATATTTGATTACAGAAATTTTCTACTTCTAGCATAAACACCACTTCTAAGTTAAGTAGCTGCAAGTTCTACTCGCATCTATTACTAGGAATGCAACAAAGTTAGATTAAAAATTGGTTCAGCCTGAAAAGCAGACAATAGTATCTTGTAAGCTGGTGTGGTTATGACTTATGTCTAGTGCCATGAGGCATATATAATCTAAGGAGGGGTATTGGGGGAACTGAAAAGGTGATAAATGATAATCAAGCATCAAGCTTTGAATTGACGATAAGGGGTCACTTGCATTCTAGCATGAGTGATCAGTTAAGAACTTCACCTATAGCCGGTGACTAGACAGATAACTTATCCCTTGAAAGAGAGATCATGTATAAATGTGCTATTATTTATGTTAGGAACCTTCACTAACATTGTCCTTTATCCCTTATTCTGGCACAGCCACATTCATGGTTTACATCTGGCGGACCTCAGACCTCATTTACTGCACCAACAGTATATCCTAAACATAAAATGGTTGCATGTCTTTTCTCGTGCAAGTGTATTAACAAATTCATTATCTATAAAGGATTCCACAGAGATATCAATATTGTAACCCGCTGAGCCACCTCCCTGGCTCCTTGAAATATAGTCATTTTAGAACCATCACGTGTAATGCCTGATTTGAATAGACAGGTATGCAGACCCTTGATAGGTGTGATGATGTGCAAATGTGCTGTTTTTTTATGCAGTGAACCTTCAACAGCAACTGTCACAGTTGATGCACAACATGCTCTAGACATTATCTCCAGGATGACCATCAAATCACATATGTAAAATGGTAGCAAGGTTTGCCTTACCAGCTTAGTCTAAATAGTTGTTCTGGTCTGTTCATGCATACTATGATATTAGTCATTTTCATAGGTTTCCTCCATATAACTTACTCAAAGATTCATTTGAAGGTATGACAGCATTATAGCTTAAATACTTCCATGGATTCTTGTGACTATCAGTCTGTATCACATATTTTGCTTTCCCAAAAATGCTGACCATGTACTAGGATGTCTCTTTCCGCCATCCTTTGGATGAATTATGATATCTATCCCCCCTTGCAGAGGGGTTTCCCTTATAATCATGTGGAGTTTCTATTAAGCTCAGGACTGAGATCAGAAGTAGAATTAGAGATCTGAGCGGAGCAGTAGGGCAGGGTTAGGGAAAAGACTGAAAATCTAGAGAAGTCCAATAGTCGGATGGTACACGTTCGCATATTTGATGGGTTTCAAATATTGGAAAAACAACTATCCATAACTTAAGTCTGCTTAAGAGAGAAAGAAATCAACAAAATATAACACATGCAGAGTGGATGAAAAAAGGGCAAACTAACTACTACTTAATACAGCTTAGCATAACATTATCCACCTCTTCAGAAGAACCTAAATGATTGGCAATAAAGTCTAGTTGCAGGAAACTCGACTCATAATCAAAGACATCTTCAGTGTTAGTAAAATGCCTCTGGATAAGAGCTTGGTGATTTAATTATGATCCAAAGAGAATGAACATGGTTTCCAAAGCTCCCAAAGGTTCAACCATGAGAGTTGAAGGGAAAGGCAGTGGCAGCACAACGTCAACCTAGTTCTGCAAATGGCAGACGTAAAACACTGGATGAAATCTGAAACTTGGGGGCATCTGTAACTTGTTGCACAATCCCTCTTTCACCATAGTTCGGGTGGGACCATGGAATCTGGGTGTGAATCAAGTTCCCAATTGGCTCACAGTCTGTTGTCATAAGGCTGCAATGAACCTCAATGCATTCATTATTGTGCCTGTTTGCAAACATTGCCAATATGAGTCCTGTGCAACTGGTTTTTAAGAGCAAGCACTTCCTATTTTTTTTCTCTATCACAAGAACACGTGAAAATAAAAGAGTGATGAATTAATTTCCATGGATATAGAAAGTTGAGTCGGATAATGCCGCAGAGATAGTAGAGGCTTTGAAAGAAGTAAAGGAGGTTTTAAGTATGGTAATAAGATCAAGAAAAAACCTCAAATTTCTCAGTAGCATATGCTTTTGATGTTTGTTTGTAAACACTCTGTTTTGAAACATGACTCTCAACTAGCAAACCTTTAGGAGTGGTCAAAACTCTAGGGAGATGGATTATGTCCTCATAATGAAAGGAAACTAGGTATCATACATACAGTCTTACCTTGGGAGAGTTGTGAACAACATAAAACACATCAATGCATTTAGCAGCAGACTTATGCATGAGGAATGTGTCACACACATCAACAGAGTTAAAAAGCCTGAAACTAGATAGTAAAATCCAAGTATGTTCAACAATCAAATGGAGAAAGACAAGCCCAAGAATATTAAAGGAAAAGCTAACAGGATTTGGGGTAAAAGATAAGGTGCAACTAAAGCCTAGCAAAGAAAGTAAGCGAAGAATTAAAGGAAGTCAAAATGAAACAAAAAACATTTGGTGAAATGAGGAAGCAGAAGAGGCTATTAAGAAGAATGCAAGCTAAAGTATCGTAAAGATTGTGAGTGAAGAAACCATGAAGAAGTATTTAGCGAAAAGCGAAACTAAAAGTAAAGCATATAATTTGTAGAAGAAACCAGGAACAAAAAAGGAGGGAAAGATGCATATAAGTGACTGGGAACATAGGGTCCTATGTTGAATCAAGCACATAAAGGATGAGAGCCAAAGACTTGGTAAACTACGACGAGGTTAGAGAACATAGAGGGTTAATGTTTTCTAGTTGAGTGTAAGGTATTGGAATATCAATTAAGTTTCTGCCTAGGAGATCAACAAATGCTATTTTCTTCATTAGAAAACTCAGAGAGATAAGAAGTAACGTATACAGAATTTGCATATGTTGTTTATTGAAATTAAGAAGGCACATAATAGAATACCAAGGAAAATGGCCAAGTGGGTTCTTGAAAATAAGAAAGACCCCTAACATGTTTGTAAATGTGATTGAAGATACGAGGGTGCCTTGGCTCTCAAACCAAGCCAAATGAAAAAATAAATGTGGGAAATCAGAAATAAATTTATAAGGTTCTACAGAGAGTTCGAGACTGAAGTTCCCCCACCTGGGGATGACACTTCCATGTGAATGTCACTTTAAGCACTCAACATCCCCCCACAAAGGAATTAAAACAATATTCAGGGTTGTTAATATCACATGCTAAACACACCATTCTACATTTCTAGAACGAGGAAATTATGTATGTATACTGATGCAGAATCGAGATAACTCAGATTCTTTCTAGTAGACGATAGGGTAAACACAAAATGTGATAGGAAAACTAATATCCTTCTGAATAATCTGGAAGAGTACAATCACTACCTTATATAGCAATAGCCAAAAATGGCAAGTTATGTAAAAGTTCACAAATTATTACCAAACTTAAAATAATGACATTCACCAACTATAATAGCACTTAACGGAACCAATCTCCAAAATCATACCTTAAAAGATATAATAGTCGAAGTTATATTACATATCACACATACAAATGTCACCCTTATATTCTCATTCTTTTTAAAAGAATATTAAAATGATGATTATATGAACAATACATAAATCAATGCACAAATCTGGTCAACACAGACTTGGCCGAACTTCATCTCCGGTCAAGCCTTGGCCGGTTTATCCAATCCTGACAACACTATTCAACTTATCCGATTTATTAATCCGGACAATACAAGTAAGCATATAACAATTAATCACATATTAATTACCTCGGGTGATAACCAAGATCCGGTTATCACATTTACCTTTTGTTTGTTTCATTTATGTTCTGTTATAAATTTTGTTTTACAGGTTCCTCATATTTACTCATATTATTATTAATTCAGAGGGTCATTTTTCATTTATGTTCTGCATTATAGTTATCCGGCCATAGACGCTCTGCATGTACTACGTAGCTCCTCTGAGCCTCGCTTCGTGCTTCACTCAGAGCATCAGAGTGGCTCTGTATGTACTACGCAGAGCCTCTGAGCCTCACTCCGTGTTTCATATAGAGTTTTACAAAGAAACTGCAAGTACTATGCAGCGCCTCTATGCCTGATTCCGTGCCTGATGCAGAGCTACAACGCAGAGCCTCTTTCTACAAAAAATTTAATCAGACTTGTACATTTGTCTAACCTTAGAAATTAACTCCGATTATTAATTCTTTATAAAATACATATTATTTTCGTTTAATTTTTGTAAATTAATTACACGGGTTCGAACCTTGTATATATATATATTACATATCTTTTTTTTTAGTTATATTTAATAACTAACTATTGCTCTTATCCAAATTCTCTTGGAGTTTTTTGCTAGGTATTTGACCAAATAAGATCGTCCAGTTCCTATAGGATTTGCCATGACCTTTTACTATCGTCCCACCGTTACTGATGCTTTTGCTTCTGTTCAATACATAATGACTGAAGCTAATTTTGGTTGGTTAATCCGATCAGAAAATACAAATTGATACATACTTAATCAGTATTGATTCTTTTGAAAGGTAGGCATACGACGTACAAAAAGTTCACGCCCTTCTTTATCTCTAAAGATAGGATGTCCTAACCATCCAACCGCTATTCCATCCCCGTTATCCATTGAGCCTGCCCTGAATAATCCTCCTTTTGCCGGATATGTTGGATTTGAATCAGATTTCGTAAATGAGTAAAGCATTACACATAGTATGCCCGTCCCCCATCAGCGTATTTTTTTGTTTTACGCGCCCGTAATATATATATATATATATATATATATATATATATATATATATATATATATATATAGAGAGGAAAAGGTTCAAACGAGAACCCTGTGATTTACGAGAACACGAGAACAACCTATTAGCTTCATATTGTGATAACAAAAAAATTTAAAGATTTTTTAAATTAAAATTGAAATTTAAAACAATTCAAAAAAATTTGAGAGTCAAAAGGGTAATATTGGAAAACAAAATGATAAAATTTTAAACACGATCACATTAACCAAATAATCTTGGAAATTAGAGTTATCGATTTATTTCAACAGTTATTGTTTATTCAAACTGAGAAGTAGGTATCAATTTCAAACTGAGAAAAAGGTATCCAAAGAATAGAAGAAATCGAAGATCAAGACTTACTTTTATTATTACAGTTTAGGACAATTTATCACAACTCACTTTTATTATCACAGTTTATCACAATTTAGGACAATTTATCACAACTTACTTTTATTATCACAGTTTATCACAAGTTATCCCAGTCAGTTTATCATAGTTTAGGACAATTTATCACAAGAAAAATATTATTTATCTTAAATGATTGGTTCACATTTGATCTCACAGTTACCACAGAACTAATTAGTTTTCATTTGATTAGTCCCCCTATATATATACATATATATATATATATATAAGCCGTTTGAAATCACCTGGAAATAGTCTATTTAATATAAAATAGGCATTGTGTTATCATAGGAAATATTGGTATTTACATGGAGACAAGAGAAAAGCTATATATATATATATATATATATATATATATATATATATATAAAAGCAGTTTGAAATCACTTGGAAACAAAAGTTATGCTCAGGAACATTTCCTTCTCCATAACCAACATTGGTCTTCCAACAACATCATGGAAGGAATAACTTGTCTGCATAGACTAAGAAAGGAGCTTTAGGGACGTTTATCAAACGCTTACCAGGTAAGCGTTTACCAACAAGAGTCTCACATACCTTATAAAGTAACAATCCCGACTATCAAAATGGATTAATGGCAAGTGTTTATAACCGGTAAGTGCTTACCGATAAGAGCCATCATCCTCACTTACCGGATAAGACACTTGATCCTTGTCTTCCATCTTACCAGGTAAGATTCTCAGTCCTTATTATATTCACCCGACAAGGTAATTGAATTAGTAAGCGCTTACCAGTTACCAAGGTAAGTGTTTGGTAAATGGCCTATTAATTTACCATATCATATTAAAACATCCACATGAAGTATAAAATGTCATTAAGAGGTGGTTTAACAAACGCTTAATGGGTAAGCACTTACCAGCAAGACTCACCTCATTTACTTTTTGGGGTAACATTCCAAGCCATCAAAATGGATTGATGGTAAGGGTTTATAAACCGGTAAGCTCTTACAGCGTAAAAGTTATCACCCCCACTTACCAAATAAGACTCTCCATCCTTCCCTACTCTCTTACCCGGTTAAGATTCTTCGTCTTTATTATTTTCACCAGGTAAGTAAGATAATGGAACTAATAAGCACTTACCAAGGTAAGAGTTTAGTAAACGTCCCCTCAGTTTTTGTGCGCACATTTCCAAAGCAGTTATATTATAACTACCAGGTGAAAATGACAAATAACAATAGGATTCATACATAAGCAAGCACAATAATTAAGTAGATTTATATTTTATTGTTTTTGCCTTGAAAAGGCTAAAGACATATTTCTTCCATTCCAAATATGGGAATCAACCTCCAAGTTCTTGAAATCTTACTAACCGTAAAGAAAAACTGCAATGATTTTCCAGCTTTCTCAACACAAGCCACAAATATCAGTACCAAAAGTTCTTTTGAATCAATAAGCAACAACCTGCCAAAATGGATCAAGCACTTAGCTTACCCAAGAGCACAATAAATCTTACTATTATATGGAAAAGTCGAAATAATGATACCAATCAACAAATAAAATACACAAAGTATTTCTTAGTTTTTCATTACAACATATTTTACTCTTATTTGTATTGCAAAAGTTAATATTTACCTAGAGAAGTTAAATATGACAACCAATTCTAAGACTTCAGAATATTACATAGCCTCTTGTGATAATACACCAACTAATATACTGGTAGACATTCATGGCATCTAAATTGACATCTCCGCAATTGCAATCAACCAGCAACATTATAGTCAACAATTACAGAAAATTGGGGGCATTATTCAGTTTAGGGGCTCATGAATAACATTAAAGGTGGAAATTTACAAGTTCTTGAAACAATAACAAGCAGAGCATGAATGGCTATCTTTGGTGCGTGAAATGGCTATCTTTGAGCGTGAAATTGGGGGCATTATTCAATTTAGGGGCTCATGAAACAGTGGTAAAACCCCCATTTTTCAACCACCACCACCAAATCATTCTTGTAATGAAACAAATCAACATTGATTAGCATCAAATAACATCATATGCATTATACCAAAATACAGAATCTAAGTTGAACACTCTATATATGATGTGGATAATCGTTTAGCTATAGTGGATCTGAAATTTAATTAATATTATAAAATGTCATATAAATCATAAAAGGTATCACAACACCCATAAATCAAACCCTTTAAGTCTTATTGAAACCTACAGAAAAATAGCACCAACCGTAAGTTCATAAAGTTGAGAATTAGAACTTTCAAGCCAGGAGCATACCGAAAACAATGTTGGTTGGATTCATAGCAACCTGATTCTTGGCAGCATCCCTGATGAGATGCTCAGTATAAAACCAACATAAGAGGGTGTCGTCTTACTGCCCTGATCATTGGTAATGATCTCAACACCATCATGTTGCCAAACATCAAGAGAGAGAGAGAGAGAGAGATTAAGGGGGAGGGTGTTAAGAAGGGGTGATTTAAGAGAGAGCGTCGATCAGGATTTCATCCCCTTTCTTGTTAGGTGGGGGTAAGAGAGGGACAAATGCATGGAGGGAGGGTGGTGAGAAACAGTGGAACCAACAAAATTCTTATAATAAAAGAGTTGATCTATGGTGACACATCCATCCCAAAGGTACATAAAGCTAATGACTTGAAGCCAGTGAATGAAAATTTATACCCTTTTGAACAAAGATTCAGACAATATCTTTTTTTTCTTTCTAAAACAAGATAAAAAGTTAATTTGATGTGTTTTTACCATTTAAAAAATGCCATTAATAGTTTAAAAACCCAAAATATACAAAAACCATTATTCGATCATGCCCGTCTTGCAGTATTGCTAAGAATAGAGAACAGAAATAACATGCAAATGCAAAATGTGCAAAAACATAAACCGATCTTAAAGCAAGAACAGAAATCAGCAACAATTAAACCATGACCTTATGAAGCATACAACAACATTCCAGTAKCTTACCTCGTTCAAAACCAGAAGTACATCTTATGATAAAGCAACTTCACGTTAGAAAAGTCCAGGGTTTTGCAAAAGTACTTTCAAAACCTACAAATCTGCATTAGAAAAAAGTTGGAGTTGAGTTATTAGAAAGATCACACAAAACCTGAATTAAAAGAACTTAACCAAAGAAATACTTCTTGGTTTGCAAAAACCTTTTACCAGCAATTCTCAAATACCACAAAATCACAAGTTCACAACTCTAGCTAATAAAAATCAGTTTTTTGTAATTAATGAAATGGGGGGGGGGATTCTACCCTTAAAGAGATGGGTGGTTGTTCCCATGAGACCCCCAGCTTGTAAGAATTACCCACTTGTACCTACATCAAAGCAAGAAGAAAACTTAAGTTAGGAGTTTTCCATGCAAAAAAAACATATAACCCACGCAATAAGAAATAAGTTAGATGTGCAATGAATGTTAACTAATTATGCACTGTTGCCGTATTATTGTCATGTATCTCATAGTAACCCGACTTAGACAACCCTAAGATAAGTATAATGCAAGAAATAGCAATGAAACAAACACATATATACCTTCTCAGGTCCAGGAGTTGTATTTCCTTCTTGTTCCACTCCCGTGATTTTTTCAGCACTTCCACCTCCCATAACAACATGTTTATCTGCAACATCGTCAATAGTAGGTCCTACAACTCCAACAGCAACTGTGTTAGGAACAATCTCACAAGGAGGCACCAGGTCTGAATCAATCAACCTAATGCCTTTGCCTCTACCAGCAGCACTTGGTTTCACCAGTATTGCTACCGAAGGCCCTTTTGCGTCAACTGCAACATTACCCCTTCCTCTTCCTCTATCGATTTTCCTTCTGGTTCTATTTTGTGTAGGTGCAATAATATTTTCAGCTTGATCAACAGGTTGAGCGGCATGGTACATATCTCCAAGCCATTTTGATCTATATGTTCCACCCAAGAACTCATTTCCCCAAGCAACCCCTTTAAGCCTCTAATCAACTATAAAAACAAAGTAAATGAATGCACAAGAAGAAACAAATTACAATCCATAACAATAGATAAATTCCCTTCCTAATTCTATGAAATATTGCATCCTCGAAATGAAAAGTAAGAGAAACTTGCTAGAATGAGGGCAAAGTTGCTTACGTAGAAAGCAAAACATGTCAGAAAGAGTATTGTATTTAGCAAAAATACCAAGTAGATGTTTATACAGATTCTACACTCAATGCTTTGAGGTTTTGATTCTTTTGGGATAACAAATATATTCCGAAGAAACAGTGATCAACAACATTCAAATTATACATCCATCACATGTCAGATCACCAAACTAAAAATTAAAAAAACTTTCTTCATTAGGCGTATAAGTACACAAAAAATCAAATTTATTTACTCTGAGAATGCAAAACAAGTCAAAACCAATATCAGAAAAAAAATTCAAATCCAACTGAGTACCATAAATCCGTACTGAAAGAGACTATAAAACACAAAGAAACGTAAATCAACACACACGTAAATTGGAGAATACCTTGTCCAAAGATGAATTTGAAGACCTAGGTACACAGTGAGCAAAGATGAAGATACAAATTAGCAAGAATCTCCCAAAAATGGTTACGATTGATTACAAAAGTCGATCAGTTCCAAGTATACCAACAACATTTGATCAATAAATAGAAACCTAGAAAATTTAAGGGACAAAAATCAGGGCAAAGGGGTAGGATAAAAACAGACTTCGCGGGAGAAATTGTCTGTCACAAGGAGATTTCAAATCATGCTCTTCATCTTCTCTCTAAAACCTTGAGATGAAACGTACATTGAACCAGAAGAACGAATTGTTCCCTGCTGTTAGAGAAAATGAAAATCGTTAGAATACAAAATTGTTGATGGAACCACCAAGGAAGGATCTTCAGACTATTAGGGTTTGAGGTTTCTTTAGCAACATTCGGAGAGTGAATATTACCTTAATCGTGAAGATGGCGTCCGTAAAGCAAGAAGAAGGCGATAGCAGAAGGAGAAAGTATGCCAAATTCTCTCGGGTATAAACCGTATCTTCAAAGCCCGGAATCGCCTTATGGATTTGGAAAGAATTATAGAGGCACGAGTGTTTGCCTGTCGTTGGTGGCTTGTTCTTGATGGATGAAATCGAGAGGCATGTGAGGGCGAGATAAATTAGGCTGGACGTGGAGAGAGGGAGAGAAATCAGGTTGGGACATGGCTTGTAGGTATTCATTATATTTGATAGCATGATATATATTAAATTAAAAAATATTTAATATTATATTTATTTTGAAGGTATTAACGAAATAATTTTAATGATATAATTTATAAAAATAAATGTATTTTTTTCATGCATTTTAATTTATATACTTTTTTTTATATTAATATGATAAAGATGTAAAATAAAAAAAATATATATATATATACCATCCATAACATTATTTAAGAAAAATTAAGTGGTGTAACTTTCATAAGATTTTGTTACTTAAAGATCGTAATTATTTGTTTGGTAATATCTGACAAAATCTACTTGAAAATATAAAAATGGAATTTTTTAAAATACTTATATTTAAAGAACGTTTACAGCAAGAAAATAGATTTTAAAAATGAAATTATTTAGGGGTTGATTGATAATTGTTGAATGGTTTGATACAGAATGATTAAGTGGTCAGAATGATTAAGAGGCTTCATGATTGTTAGAAACACCTTTACTTGGAATCCACTGAAAGTCGCTTTTCACTTTCAGATTGAAGTATTTCGACGGTACAATCGAAATCTCAATCGGATAAAATTCAGTGACAGAACTTCGAATCTGAAATTGTTATGAAAATCTGTGTACCTCTCTTACTCTCCACGAAAATTTGACCAATTCGAAATATAAAAAGAAAAACCGTATGGCAGTTTTTTCACCTAAAAACCGGGTCAAAAACCGTATAAAAAAAACTGTCAAAAATGACAGTTTTTCACCTAAAAACCGGGCCAAAAACCGTATGAAAAACTGTCAAAAAAAAGGCAGTTTTTCACCTAAAACCGGGCCAAAAACCGTATGAAAAACTGTCAAAAATAGCAGTTTTTCACCTAAAATCGGACCAAAATAAATTCAAACAAGTGTGCACTCCGCACCTTCCTTACTTTATTCGATATTTATCTTGATTACATTGGTCAACAAATTAATCYCATTACACTTAAGTGATATTAGTGATACTAATCACCAACAATCCTCCCYCATTTAAGTGTAATCTTGATTAACTTAAATCAATTTCATAACAAAACAAACTGATGCATAAATGAAATATCATGACGATTGAATTTCACATTAGTATACTACTCATTTCAAATATTCGAATATCAGGGTGTCACTAAGGAAGTAAGGATTGAACCCTTTCTATTCATAGTGAATACATGAAGATAATATACACAACAGTTTACATTCTCATGTTCTAACTTGACACTATATTTTACTAGCCTGTGTCCTATCCTTCAATAAGCATATCAAAGCTAAGTCCCAAACTTCTTGAAGCGGCTAAACTTCTTGCTTATATAGGTAGTTCTCTTACTCTTGCATCTGCATATGCAATTTTTCAAAAGAACTATTAAGAAATATAATTTCAACCTCCTTTACTTGCAGTTCTGAACACATACCTTGGGATGACGCTAATAATGTGTTCCAATCTTTAGATATCAAGCTTTCCACATTGAATTCAACATCTAACATTATATTAGATGGGAATTGGGTATCTTAATATGAAAGATTTTAGGTGAACTTTAAACCTATCCCCACAGCCGCCTTGTGTACAAGATCTCTAGCTAACCCTTTGGTTAGATGATCGGCTAAATTCAACTGAGTTCTCACAAACTCCACCGATATCACACCATTCATGATGAGCTCACGAATCATGCTATGTCTAACACCTAAATGTCTAGACTTCCCATTATACACTTGACTATAAGCCTTAGCCAAGGTGGCAGCACTATCACACCGGATAGAAATGATAGATATCGGTTTGGGCCATAACGGAATTTCATATATCAAATTCCTTAGCCACTCAGCTTCTTTACCAGCTGCAGCCAATGCTACAAATTCAGACTCCATTGTTGAGTTTGTAATACAAGTTTGTTTATTGGAAGCCCAACAAATGACACCTCCTCCTAGAAGGAAAACCCAACCACTCATAGACGAGTGATCCTCCAAATTTGTAATCCAACTGGCATCTGAATAACCTTCTATAACTGAAGGAAATCCTCTATATGTCAAACCATAATCCATGGTTCCTTTCAAATACTTGAATACTCGACTTAAAGCTTGCCAATGATGTGAACTAGGATTACTGGTATACCTATTAAGCTTTCCTACAGCATATGCTATATCGGGCCTAGTGCTAATCATGGCATACATAAGACATCCTATAGCTCTCGAGTATTCAAGCTGAGACACTRGAACACCTGTATTAGGTAGAAGCTTAAGATTAGGATCTATTRGAGTGCTAACAGGAGAACAATTTCCAAAGTTAAWTTTTTTCAATATCTTCTCAATATAATGAGATTGAGAAATTGAAATTCTATTGTTTCCTTGTTTGATTCTTAATCCAAGAATCACCTCAGCCTCCCCCAGGTCTTTCATATCAAAACTAGATGATAAGAACTTCTTGGTTTTATCAACTTGATCTTGATCAGTACCAAAGATCAACATATCATCTACATATAAACAAATTATAACTTCTTTACCAGAAGTATCAAATTTGCTATATACACACTTATCAGCTTGGTTTAGTGCAAAACCATTAGATAAGACMACATCATCAAACTTTTGATGCCATTGTTTTGGTGCTTGTTTCAGACCATATAATGACTTCTTCAACTTGCACACCTTGTTTTCATTTCCAGGCATCACAAACCCTTCATGTTGTTTCATATAAATTTCCTCATCCAATTCACCATTCAAGAATGCAGTCTTTACATCCATTTGATGAATTACAAGATTATGTATAGCTGCAAGAGCTAACAACAATCTAATAGTGGAAATCCTAGCAACAGGAGCATAAGTATCAAAGAAGTCAATACCTTCTTTTTGCCTAAARCCTTGAATAACCAACCTGGCTTTGTACTTATCTATGGTGCCATCCACTTTCATCTTTCTTTTGAGGATCCATTTACATCCTAATGCTTTGCAACCAAGAGGCAAATCAGTTAAAACCCATGTATTATTATACATGATCGAATCAATCTCATCCTGGATTGCTTCTTTCCAGAAAGCAACATCCCTAGATGCCATGGCTTCACTAAAAGTCTTTGGATCCTCTTCAATAATAAAAAAATATTGATGTTGAGACACAGTCTCATCTCTTGTTCCTTTAACTAGATAAAGTTGAAAATCAGATCCAAAAGACTTAGCTTTTCTAGCTCTAGTGCTTTTCCTAGGTTTAGATGGTCCAGGTACAGAATCTGTACCACCACACACATTTTCAGCTTGAGTTGTAGTTTTGTAGGAATGAATCATGTCCCTTGGTCTAGATATAGATGTAAATCTCTCTTCATCAAATATAGCATCTCTTGACTCYATAACAGTGTTAACTGACACAGAGTCATTAGATTCTATAACATAAAATCTATATGTTTTGGAATGCTCAGCATACCCAATGAAGATACAATCTATACCTTTCTCACCTAGTTTTTGCCGTTTGGGTTCAGTGAGCCTTACAATTGCTCTACAACCCCAAACTTTGAGATAACTCAAATTTGATACCTTTTTATACCAAATTTTATAAGGGGTGTTTTTTAGGGATGGTGATTTGCCCCGACCCGGTGGGGAACCCGGTTCACCCGACCCGAACGGGGACGGGGATTCCCCGCTAAAACGGGTCCCGGGGCCGGGGACGGGGATCCCCGGTAGACTTAAACCGGGGGCGGGGTCGGGGACGGGGAATGTTACTCAAAACGGGGTCGGGGTCGGGGCCGGGGATCCCCGGTATAATCAAACTAAAGCATACTTTTTACCGGGGTTTACCGGGTTTTGACCGGGGATTGCTAGAATTTGACCGGGGACGAGATGATAATCCCCGTACCCGCCGGGGACCGGGGCCGGGGGACGGTATTACAAACTGGGGTCGAGGCTGGGGATTACAAAACCCGCCCCATCCCCGCCCCGTTGCCATGCCTAGTGTTTTTACTCCTTTTATTCGGAGTTCTATTCAATATATAACAGGCTGTCAACATAGCCTCACCCCAAAAACCATCACTTAGGCCTGAATAAGACAACATGGAATTAACCATTTCCTTCAAGGTTCTATTCTTCCTTTCAGCCACACCATTTTTCTGTGGTGTGTAAGGAGCCTTGGTTTGATGTATTATACCAGTAGACTCAAAATAAACTGGATCATAATACTCACCACCTCTATCAGTACGCAAAACTTTTATCAACTCATTTCTATGTARYTCTRCTTCTTGTTTATAAATTTTAAATTTATCAAGAGCTTCATCCTTTGTGTGCACCAAATAAACATAACAATATCTAGATGCATCATCAATAAAAGTAATAACATACTTTTTATTTCCTAGTGAAGGTGTAGCATGAAAATCACATAAATCACTATGAATGAGTTCTAATACTTTGCTTTCTCTTTTAACATCCTTAAAAGGTTGTCTTGTAATCTTGGTTAACATGCAAGTTTTACACTTTTCATTATTCATGTCAAAAGCGGGTATTAAACTCATTTTAGACATATCCTTTAACCTTTTATAATGAACATGTCCTAGTCTAGCATGCCATAAAACAGATTTACTTAGCTTATTACTACTAGATGTCATCATACAAATAGAGTTAACATAAGAAGGATAATCTAGATTCAACCTAATCATACCATTACATACATAGCCAAATCCAACAAAAGTACCATGTCTTGACAAGATATACTTGTCACTTTCCAACACTTGTTTGTAGCCACACTTATTCAACACAATTTCAGACAAGAGGTTCTTTCGAATCCCCGGTAAATACAAAACATTGTCTAAACATAAACACTTTCTAGATGTGAACTTAATTAAAACACGTCCTAATCCCTTGATTGATTCCGTTGCAACATTTCCCATCTTCACGATAGATCCATCTTCAATTGGTTGACATTCTTTAAACCAACGAAGATCCTTGCAAACATGACGTGTTGCACCAGAATCAACCCTCCAAGCAACGTCATCATCCTGCACATAATATGCCTCATAAATTACAGA